GTGTGATGGATAGACATTCTCTAGTGTTTCTGCATCTAGAACTAGGGGTGGGTACAGATGGGTCAGTCATATCCAAACCCACTTTAAGGCCTCTGCTGGCAACTCATATTTACATATGAAGAGTTGCCACCACCCCAGGAGGATTCACAATATACTGGGAGGACAGTTTGGCCGTCTGCAGTGGACCTCTACCATGGACAGCGACTACCAGATACAAGGTGAAATACTCAAATATAAATTCCTAGACAAAGAGGATACACTTATAGATAGGGCCTTTCCCAAACACCAGTCTCATCCCACTAGTAAGCCTCATGAAAGTATTAGGTTGAGAGAGAGCTTCAGTTTAATATTTTTTACCCAGTATAATGATGGAGCATTTATAATATTGAATTTTTTAAAGAAACACTGGAGACTTCTAAAAGAAGATCCTATATTATCCGAATCCCTCCCTTAGGCCCCAAGTATTATTTGGTAAAAAAAACAAAAGACTTACACAGTTCTAAAGTACCCAGTAAGTTAAAATCTGTTCCACATGCCAATATTGGAAACTGGCTGTTTGGGCAGATGTTTTTTTTTAGATGTAATTCCCCAAATGTCCATTCTTGTGGCACCGTAAAAGGGATTTTAGTAGTTCCCATGGAAAAAATTTCCCTATCAAACAGTTTTTAAATTGTGGGTCAAATTCTGTGATTTATAGGATTGTTTGCCCATGTGGGAAATTATATGTAGGTCGTACCTCCAGGACATCAAGAATTAGAATTAGCGAACATAAAAGGAACATGCTTAAGAAAAAAAGATGATCACTCATTACCCAGGCCTTTTTTGGAGTGCCATAATGCCAATCCAGAGGGGCTCAAAGTCTTCAGCATAGAAGGAATACCAAGAATGACTGATGGGGGTGCACGATTCAGGAGGCTTTGTACCAGGGAGGCCTTCTGGATCTACACCCTAAACAGTCTATCTCCAGCGGGGCTCAATTAACGGATTGATGTGGCATCTGTAGTCTAACGTTATAGTAGGCGTCTTACTGGCTGTCTGTTACAATTTTATAGTCTTCTTAGGGATTCCTAAATTATTTATTTTCATTTTTATTATATGTTCTTATGTTGTATGTTTCAGTGACTTTGAGTGGGCGATTATGCTTTCAGAATACTGCATTTTAGGTATTCTTTAGAATTGTCATGCACATGCCTTTACCATTTTAAAATGTCCTGGGATTTTATTTAAAAAATGTCACCTTACCTTAGCCTGGTGGTCAGTGGGACTCCCTGGACTCTGGTTGTGGGGGGTCTGTTGTGGCCGCAGTTGCTCCATCTCTCTGCCGCCTTTCTGCCATCTGCACATCCGACACTCCCAGCCAGTGGCGTAGCGAAGGGGGCGCCTTCCCCCGGGCGCAGGGGCAAACTGACGGTGCAGCCGTCACCACAGCTCCTGGTCAGCCGCCCGCATCAGACCCGGCTCTCTAATCGACCGCTTCCATTTTTAGGTAAATATTTTTAAGAAAAAGTATAGTCTTATACACGGAAAAATACAGTATGTTGATCATACGAATAATTGTATGTTCCCAGATTATTCTCTTGTGTTCAGATATGAAATTACCTTTCTTGGGTTGTTTTCTGTGCCTGGTATACAGGAGGGTCTGTCTTACTAGAGTGTCACATTGACTCATTAGTGGTTCAGTCTTATGTCTCATTTTTCCAGTGTTGATCCCTCTTAAGGGGCATTTTGTGCATAATATCACATCTACAGCATTTGGTAATGCACACGAAATGTATCCAGGATGTGAGAGTTCAGTGTGTGGTTGACCTATATACAGTAGACGTGCATTTTCTCATGGTGGTTATTGTGTCTGGTGCACCGATCAAATAGAAATACAGAGCTGACAATGCAAGGAACAACTTATTTGTGTAAAGTGACATTGCTCAGATCCTCTTTCCAGGCCTAGCCACTGATCCATTAGCATAGCGGTTAGTCTCACAGGGATCTCAAGTCTCCCTGATGTTCAGGGAGTTTCCCGCTATTAGATAGTGGCTCACTGATGTCCGCGAGAGAGGCATTTTCTCCCTGAAATGTTTACTCTGAGTAAACATTTCCGGTAAGATATCAGTGGGTAAAGTTTCAGAGTGAGGCTTGCCTCCCGGAGGAAGGTCATGTGATCTCTAGAGTAGCCTCAGAACGAGGCTTGGCTCTCAGAAGGAAGAAGCTACTTGTATATTATTATTATCATTATTATTTCTTTTATATTCTGACGACTGCCGCTGTAAAAAAAAAAACAGAAAGGGCACCTCCCTGAAATGAGAAAGGAACCTCCCTGAAATAATGTTTTGCAGGTTGGGAAGTCTGGTCTCAGTAACCAGTAATGAGGTGTGGGAAGGGTGGACCAGCCCTTGTATTATCTTTCCATGCTTCAGAGCACTAGGTGAGGTTGGGTCAGTTTTTCGGTAGGCCCCTTTCAGACGATTGTGTCTGTAGAGGATCCGTCAACAGATCCTCTCCTGATCACAGCAGTACGATGCGGATGTCACCAACATGACATCCGTGTCAACGTTTTTTTCCTCTTGATCTTTCAGCTTGCGATGGAGGAAAAAACTGAAACTGCCGGACTCTATGTTTGTCTAAAGCCCCATTATGGCTATGGCTGCCCATAGACTTGCATAGAGCATACGATCGGGTCCGGCTGAAAAACTGACAGGTGGACCTGATCGGACTGCTCATGTGAAAGGGGCCTAAAATATTAGTGTAGCAGAAATGAAGATCCTTGGTGCCCAAGGTGAGCTTACATATTTCAGCTAAAATACAAACTAATATCTCATGATTTTAATGTGTTTTGGTATTTGGAGAGTAAGTAAAATTATGCTTTTAAATGCATGCCAGCCTGCCTGCCTTATGAATAGTATAGGTGACACTGAGAGGCTGGTGTACTCTGGGGCGGGCAGTTGGGGTACCTGTGGACTCCCGCTCTCTACCTTCCTGCTTCCTCCCCTAATCCTACCACTACCCTCTCCCTCCTCTCACACAATAATTAATATAACACTCATTCCCACTATTGCCGCCTCTTCCCTTTTATATGGCCTCTAACTTCTTGGAGGCGCAGTCTTATACCCATTTCCACAACACACGCAATTTCCAAAAGAAACAGACAGAAAGAAGAGGACAAAAGATCACTATTGAGTTTCCTTTCCTGTTGTCAACTTTAACATGTAAATGCTAAGTTTACCTGACCATGCCTGACCATGTTTAATGTTACTTATTACTGCTCCTGCCAACACTCCGGAAACTGCAAGTCCCAACAGCCACCATGGCAGCAGCAGAGGGACTGCACCTGTAGTCTATTCATTCTACCTCCAATCCCTGTTTCTGAATGTCCGTAAAGAAGTACGGACATGGACAGGAGGAAGCGTCTGCAGGAGCCAGAGCATTGCACCTGCGATCCACTGATCACTGTTGCATGCTTTCCTGGCTCCTATGCAAAAAATAATAAATGCAATTTTTTTCTTTTACAAGGAAGTGTACAGTTTTTTTTCTAAAAGATGTCATTTCCCTTTAAGAATGTCTTTTGTAATGCAGAACTAGATCGCTGTCTGCTGTCTTTTATGTATTTCATCCAACCAGTCTCACTTTGATCTGTGTAAATCTTGTTATTCCATATTGAATAAATTAAGATTTATAATTAAAAAAAAATACTGCTAAATAAGCATTGAACATCCACAATCGATTTCCCTGGGTTGTTGTGTTTTTTGTATTTTAGTATGTTGCCTTCACCTGACAGTAAATGTTTTTCAATAATGTTTCAACCATATATTTTTATGAAATGGGTGGAAGTGTTATTATACTGGCTGCATTATTTGTAGAATATGTTAAAGCCCATCTCCAGGCAAACATAAAAAAGTATGCCTGCAGTGGGGTTACCCAAGCACTGTAAGGGTTAATTGCTTGTGTTTTTTTTTTTCTAGGGGTATGGTGTAAAGGGCATTTACTTAACTGATACCCACTGGTGTCATCTCCCACAGTGCTGGTCCTCTATGGAACCTGAATTAGACATAATGACGTCGGCAATCCTTAAGGTGCCCATACACTGTGCGATTATCGCACGATAATCGCAGGAAATCCCGCAATCGTACGATAATCGCAAAGTGTGTGTGTGGCAGGCGTGTGACCGTTTTTACTGCACGTCTTTTGTCTAAGGAGCATGTTCGAAAACCAGCCAAAAATCGTACGATTTTTGGCTGGTTTGTGGCATGTTTGTGAGACAAATGCCGAACGGGCCAGTGTGCACACGCGCACACTGCCCGTTCAGCATTGCGGTCATCGGAAGCCCGCCCACCAGCGGGGCGTGCTTGCGATGATCGCAAGTACGATCTGCCTGTCCAAGATGGGCAGATCGTACGTTTTTTTAAGACTAAGGTCTTGCGATGGTTGTAAAGTGTATGGCCACCTTTAGACCGCCGGAGCCCAGGGAAGGGGAGGCTGCGGGTACAAATCTGCTTTACACCTGTCCCTAGACAGAAATGAGCGCTTAACCCTTGCAGTACAGGGGTAGCTTCACTGCAAGGGAAGTTTTTTTTTTTGGTTTGCCTTGATATGAGCTTTAAAGTGATTCTGTCATTTTTTATACAAAATTTTCTTAAAACATTTTAAAACAAAGAATAAATCATTTTAATTTTACATTCACACGCCAGCATTCTAGTAACCAGCAATGCAGGAAGGGTCATTTTGTCACTTTGTATTTCCAATTCCTAACCACACAGCAGAGACCGGCGTGCAGCTTCAATCATCTAACACTGCAGCGTTCCTGTACATAGCGGGTAGTTATTCATCACACAACATATCTTCAGGCATTATTTGCACTGCAGCAAGTGATTGTGAAGACAAGAACTCACATTTACATTTTTAATTATTACAAACAGCTAGTGATTTACAAATGATTTGTATTTACAAACACGCAGAAGTTTTACTAAGTATAATTAAAAACAATCAGAGACATAAAACAGTCAGTAACTTACTGGATTGTAAATTGGTGCAAAGCCTGCCATCTGGTCTGAGAGCTGCCGCTGGCCCTGGGAGTGAATAATGAAGCTAGTTTCGTTTTCTTGTGAAGCAGGAAAGGATGTGAAAAACAACAGGGGTGGAACCTTCTAAGATTTTACATACTGCATATATAGTATAAACACTAGGGGCTGTGTGCAAAGGGATCATCTGCCATCTGTAGGAAACAAATATCAAAGAGAACAACATAAAAGCAAAACCATATCCATATAAGCAAAAGGTGCTATTCATGGAGGGCTTGTTCAACCACTCAACCGCATGGCTGCTGGTGGACGTGTGCCTGATTGAGCCGCATTGCACTGTTTCTGGGGTTTTTTTCTTTTTTTTGTTAGAACATTTCATTAATTTCTATGGGTTTGCCGTGCTGTGATATGGTTGTACCGTGTCTCACTGTGGTGCGCTTGAAAAAAGTACTGCATGCCGTACTGCACCGGAATGCAGTGGTACCTGAGTCCACCCATGACAAGGCAATTGCCTTGTCTTGCGTTCGGGCTGCACTGGAAAATGCATATGGTGTGAATGAGCCCTGAATGGGATAGAATTTCATTTTGTAAAGCGCTGCACAAACTGTTGGCGCTATATAAATCCTGTATAATAATAATACTAATTAGGGATGTACCAATACTAGTATTGGGGCCGATACAGGGCATTTTAACGAGTACTTGTACTTGAAAATGCCCCGATACTAAAGGCCCATACTGGTCCTTTAAATTTTTAAGCAAGTTCAGCTACCTGACGGTCGCACGCTTGCTGGGAACCTCAGACAGCCTACTGGGGACCTCGCGGTAGCAGTTTTTGACAGTGCCGGCCCCACATATCCTCCTCCTCTTTACTGGCGCCTGCAGACAGGTATAGCATTAGCCTGGCACCCACCCATTCAAGGTCTGGAGAGCCTGGCAACCACCCGCAGAGCTCTGGAGAGCCCGACAACTGCCCAGAGAGTCTGGCACCCACATGCAGCCCTGGTGAGACCCAAAAGCAGCCCTGGTGAGACCGCACACAGCCCTGTATACTGTAGTTGCTGTATAATCATGGATTGCTGAAATTTGTAGTCCTCTATAGCCAGTTGCCATTCTCCATTGCATACAGCAGTAGAGAATGGCAACCGGCTATAGAGGACTACAAATCCCAGCAATCCATGATTGCTGGTTGCTATTCTCTATTGTTGAATAATCATGGATCATCAATTATTATACAGCAATAGAGAATGGCAACTGGCTATAGAGGACTACAAATCTCAGCAATCCATGATTGCTGTATGCCATTCTCCATTGCTGTATAATCATGGATTGATGGGGTATGTAGTCCTCTATTGCTGGTTGCCATTCTCCATTGCTGAATAATCATGGATTGCTGAGATGTGTAGTCCTCTATAGCCGGCTCTATTCTCCATTGCTGTATAATCATGGATTGATGGGATCTGTTGCCCACTATTGCTGGTTGTTATTTTCCATTGCTGAATAATCATGGATTGCTGAGATTTGTAGTCCTCTATAGCCGGTTGCCATTCTCCATTGCTGTATAATCATGGATTGATGGGATCTGTAGCCCACTATTGCTGGTTGTTATTCTCCATTACTGAATAATCATGTATTGATGGGATCTGTAGTCCTCTATTGCTGGCTGCCATTCTCCATTGCTGAATAATTATGGATTGAGTTACAGTTCTTCATGAATAAATTAAATAAGAAACTGCCCTAAAAGTCCCTTTATGAAAAAGTATCTGTAATTGGCATCGGCAAGTACCTGAGGGAGTGTACTTGATATTGGGACATCCCTAATACTAATACTAATTTAGAAAGTTGCCTTTACACGTATGTATTTAGAAAAGAAGCGTGTTTTAATGCATGTTTGTATGCATGTTTTACATGTGTTTTTAATGTGCTGCAGTGTAGGTTTTGCTCCCCCCTGGGCTGGTGGCTGAATACAAACAAGTGCCCATTTCGTAGTAGGCACTCATTTCTGTGTGCTAAAGAAAGTGTACCATGCAATGTCTGCCATGGTGCCAGTGATTGGTGGGTAAGGTGAAAGGTTGGTGTTCCTAAAGCATGTGGTTTATTGTGTTTTTTTCACATCTTACCGCATCGGCTTCCCTTGTGGTTCTTGGCATTCAGTCACATGACCTCTCAAAGATGTTGGTTCTTTTTGTTCTGTGATAACAGATATGAACAGGGAGCATGTGTGAATGACTGTAGGTCCCGCTCTGATTGATGTCGGATGGTAAATTATCATCATAACATATTTCCTTAGTACTGTTCTGTGGGGCAAATACCCCCCTGCCCTCTCCCAGACCTGTCCTCTCCCGACTGCAGTGCAGTTGTAATGCTTCTTAAATTGCATTTTAAATGTGTTTTAGGGGAATGAGATTCCTGACTTTTGCAGTGTTTTACCAAATATTTCTATGTTAAATATATTTTAAAGGGAAATTCCACCTTTTAGAAAAAATATAATAAATGCACACTACTTCAAAAAAGAAAAAAAATTGTATTTATTATGTTTTGCATTGGAGTCAGTAAAGCATTGCAACCGTGCTCAAGGAATCGTGGGTGCAATTCTCTGGCTTCTGCAGACTCTTCCTCCTGTCCATGTCCGTATTGAGGTATGGACATTCAGTAACATGGATGGAAAGAAGGATGAATGGACAACATGTGCGGTGATGTCAGTGCACTTGTTTTCCATTGCCACTGTGGCTGATGGGGCTTGTAGTTTCACCATTCTTTATAAGCTATAACACACTAACATGTAAAGATGAAAATGCCTCCATTCAGAAAAATGGTACATAACTCTTTTTGTCTTTTACATGCACTTTGGAGATGCAAGAGTAAAATAACTCCTGGTATGAATAATTACATAGTTTTCAATGCCGGAGGGTTTTTGTACAGCAAGTCCACAGTATAAAACAAACAAAATATCAGCTTGTCAGCTTGTCCGGGCAGCTAACTAAACTTGTGTAATCTGGCTGACAGGGTGCACCCTAATGGGTTCCCAAAAACAAGCAGGCAGCTCTTGTACCTTTTTAGTGTTCTGTCAGCACTCAGCTTTTTCTTCCCGCAGAAGGCTCCCACAGCAGAGATAGAGTGAAAGAACCCTAAGCATCAATCAGCCTGTATATAGAAAGGTCTGAGGGCAGCTGGGGCCAATAATGAGGTCAGGCTACCAGGTGAGATGTGTACCTAGAAAAGGAGGCTTTATCCCACCCAGAACAGTAGTTAATTCTGAGAAAACTAAATTTTGTTTTCCCTACATCAGTCATAAACTTTAAAGCCCCTCACCATGTGTATGTGAGAAATGTAGGTGACACATACGCACCAGCCACTGCCTCACATACCCTTCCCCTCTGCTCAGACCAGTAGGAAGCACATTTTGCCAACATACAGTGGAAACATGACTGTCAGGAACCGCAGCACCTGCTGGTGGCACTGTGGTCCTGGGACCTGAAGCATGTAATTCCAGTGTCTACCAGCGGGTGTCTCTCAGCAGCCACAGCTGTCACAGCGCTCCCTCCAGCCTCTCTTCTCCTACTTTGCAGCAATGGTATGTCCAAATACACAGTGTATCGGACGTGATGACTCAATGATCCTTTAACCGCTGCAGCGAAGGGGGAGCGAGGCTGGAAGAACCAGACTAAGAGCAAGCCGATTTCACGGATCGGGTGAGTTAACGTTTCTATTTGAGCTTCTAGATGAAAATGAGCAGGTAACCCTTAAGGTGCCCATACACTGTACGATTATCGTACGAGAATCGCGGGAAATCCCGCGATCGTACGATAATCGCAAAGTGTATGGAAGGCGTGCGACCGTTTCTCGTACGTCTTCTGTCGAACAAGCAGGCTTGAAAACCTGCTTGAAAATCGTACGATTCTCGGCGGGGTAGTGGCCTGCTTGTTCGACAACTGCCGAACGGGCCACCCCTGCAAGGGGTACAGGGAGCAGCGGGATCGGGAGATTAAACTAGAACTCTAGGCAAAACTGTTCTTAACCCTTGCCGTGAGGCTACTTCTGCACTGTAAAGGTTGTAAGCTAATTAAAAGCTTACAACCTTTACAGTGCAAGCATTTGGGAGCTCCCGAATGCAATTTGGAAAAATTCGGATCCCGAATGCCATTTGGGTCTAGGAGCCTCAGATTTAGTATTATATGTCTATACTGTATATGGCTCCCATGTTGCCGTAACGAAAATTCATGTTCAGACCCATTCGGATCCATTAAACCGAAAAACACATTGGCCAGAATAGTCACATGTTCGATTCAGTTTCGTTTTTGAACGAAATTCGGATGGGTTCAGATTCGGACACATTCGGGTGCATTGGGATCTGGAAATTCGGATGTGTCCAAATGTCCGAATTTCGAAAAATTCATACGAATTTTGATTCAGAACAAAATGAATCGCACATGTCTAGTTGTTAGAGAAAACCAAAGAATACCCATAAACACACACATGGCGTACTGTATATCCAAAACTACATGCGCATGGCTTACTTGGTGGGAATCAGACCCAGGACCCTAGCACTTCAAGCACGAATAAAAAACACGTTTAGACATTGCTTTCATAGATTCTCAATGTGTTTCACTAGTCGACCCCTTTAGTATTGCGCAATTCCAGTGCATTGGAGTTTGCTCAGATATGTATATATACTGTTATCTGTTATCACGAGTACCTGTACCTGGTAGTGGGAGGTAAGTAAACAAAGTTATGAGTAGTTTCATGTCTGGAGAAACAGAAAGTACTGAAGAGAGAGTTATCAGTTGCACAATCCTAACTGCTGGGCTTATAGGTTAACCTGAGTGATTGATGTTTACAATTTCATCCTGCCAATCTACTTTGAAGAAATGCAAAAAAAAATAAGTTCCATTCATCTATAACTTCCTTACAAAAAATATAAAAATTCTATTAGTTACCAGCAGTCCTTCCTATCGTCATGCAAATTTCAAATCAGAAACTTATGTAGACCTTCGTTCTGTAAAGCTGGCCACACACCCAGGGCCGGATTTACTCCCCCTGCCGC